AAAAACAACTGCAAACTGCTCTAATTCTTTCTGTTTCTTTGCATTTGCATTTGATCTCATTTGTGAGTCGGCCTCAACGGTCTTTAACTTTTCTCAAAAAAATCATATGCGAGCTAGGTTATATGCATAATATGCCCGACATATCAAATAATGTAATTGGCATTTATTTGGAAGAGACAATTAGCAAAATCGAGCGTATCTAAAAGTTGTTTCATTAATTAGCAAAACACGCAAACATGTTTAAATAACTGTACGGTTCATAGCCAACCAGAGTTTAGAATTTACAAATCATATTTTACAATATAGGCACGTTATTCAAAAATATGGATTAAGAATTTCTGCGCAACGTGCTGAAGTTAAGAAAATGGAAAAATATATGTCAAGCTGGATAAAAGTGTTTTCTTTTAAAAATTATATGCGTAAAAAATTCATTATCTGAAATTTTGTATGTCATGCTCAGCAGGACAAGCAGGACTGATCCAGTGAACTCTATATATAAACGAACTTCGGCGGAAAATGCCGGTCAATGGTTGCAAGCAACGTAGCTTTGTTTTGAAAAAACTTTTCTACATGTACTAAGCTAAAACAAGAGCACACTGCCTTACCATACTGTATAATAAATAACGTACGTTATGTTACGGTGTTTACCCGGGCAGTCAGTCTCGGGCAGTCCCCGGGCAGTTCCCGGGCAGTCCCCGGGCAGTCCCGGGCAGTCTCGGGCAGTCTCGGGCAGTAATTAGTAGGACCCTGTAGTCATCCTCAGGATTAATCCTTAATCATCCTTAATCCTGAGGATGACTACAAACTAGTCGAAACGTCGATTAAAAATCAAAATGTTATTCGGAGTTACTGTTATTTTGTATTTTCTTAAAATACTGAGTGGTTCAAGTAATTTTTGATAGTGAAGTAGTTTCGTTTTATATTCTTTCGAGTCTTTGAGAGGTTCACCGAAATTTCGCGTTTCTTCTTTCTTCTTATCCAAAACATAAACAAACATAAACTGTGAATGTATTCCATGATTGTCGAAGTGAAATTTGCTTACGTCGTTGTCTTTATATACGCTTGTTTGTTTACGACCTGACGTCAAAACACGTTCCTAACAAATGAGTGATCCGCTGCATAAACAAGCTACCAATAGTCATCAGTCAATATGGTTATGCATTGCTAACGACCATTATGCACTGCTAATGACCATATAATGGTTATTTTACACAATGGTTGAGAAATGGAAATGAGTCACAGTCCCAAACATTTTGACGAAATAACATCTCTATTTTCGGCAAAATGTCCGTTCGTCAAACTGTCCATTCGGCAAAATGTCCGTTCGGCAAAATGTCCGTTCGGCAAAACGTCCGTCGGCAAACTGTCCGTTTGGCAAAATGTCTTTCGGCAAAATGTCTTTCGGCAAAGTGTCTTTCGGCAAAATGTCTCGGGATACCGGTGTTTAGTGATGATGATGCCGGAGGTGGTGATGGTAGTAATGATGGTAATATTGAGGGTGATGGTGGTTGTGGTGATGGAAATGGTGATGATAGTGATCATGGTGATGATAGTAATCATGGTGATGATGGCATGGTGGTAGTGGTAGTATGTGATGGTGTTGGTGGTGAGAGGAACAAGTACATAATAGTATTTCTTACACTAGTTCGTTTTTGTTCCTTGAAATTCATCCCATCAGATTTTCGTCTCATCTCATAAGGTCCGTCTTCTTTTGGACGTAAACTGATTCTTACAAATGGATCCGAGACATGCTTTTGTTTCATTCCAAGATTCCTGTAACAACAAGGTGCCATGGTTGACCAAATATTGAAGTGTTTCTATAATCTTTGTCAGGTACAATTCAACCTAGCTACACTGGATCCTAAACTTTAAAATATATTATCAAAAAAATACCTGGCCTCTAAAACTTTGACTGAAATATTGGTTTGTTCTTCATTCTAAAAATTAAAAATTTTGCTGGTTAGTAACATGAATGAGATGTATATGTACTGCCCCACATGTTACTATTACTTCCTGACATTAAGGACCTTCCCTGGAATATCAAGAGTACCTACACTGGACCATCACGATTAAGATATCTTTTTTCCGGCAGTTCAGACACAAACCATGACAGCTTATTGTAGAAGACTACCTACATGGGACCAGTGGTGGATCCAGTAAAGTTTTTTTTTTGGGGGGGGGTGCTAACCAATGGAGAAACGAGTGCCGAAGGCGCGAGATTTCTATGGGGGGTCTGGGGGCATACTCTCCCGGAAAAATTTTAAAATTTGGGTCTCTGAAATGGCATTTCCAGCATTCTGAGAAAACATTCTGGAAAATTTTTAGATTCTCAAAACATTTCAAAATTCAGAATATTTAATATTGGCTATTCCGCTATTGTCAACTAGTGTTATAAAATAACATGTACATAACGCGTATTCTGATTGGTCGAAAGCCGTGTTTGGATCAGGCCATCCAAACACGGAAGACTATCGTGTTGTTGTTAAAAGCGGGCAAAATCACTCGCCTTCGGCTCGTGATTTCGCTCGCTTTTCTTAACCCTCGCAACATTCCCGCGTGTTTGGATCAGCCATCCAAACACGGAAACCATAAAGTAATTGTATAATACTACCCACACTGGACCCCCAGGTTTGAGATACCTTTTTCAGGTAGTTCAGACACAAATCATGGCAGCTTATTCTAGACCACTACCTACACTGGACCACCACGTTTGAGATATCTTTTTCAAGTAGTTCAGACTATTGTAGAATACTACCTACGCGAGTAAGGGGAACTGGGAAGCACTTCAATATTGAGAGATGTAGTTTAATTTTCTTGCTTCTGCAAGTGTTAACATTTCTGACATTGCCAACCATCTGCTACCCAGTAATTCTTACTGAAACCAATTAAGAGGCAATTTTTTTCAATGTCACGTATTTGCAAAAATTGTCAATTAAAATACAATTATCAATGATGCTTTAAAATTGACGCCATATTTACAGCAATATAAGCAAAACTTACTGAACTTCAGACATCATTTTCTCTTTGGCGTATCATCTAAAATCTCTTCATTTTAACATTATTTTACAGATAAAGCACTAAAAATTTTTTTTAAGTTTGTTTGCCGATTGAGAAACGTATCGAAAAATACTGAAAAATTTTGAATTTAGTCATAACCTCAAGTGATATATTATACGCATTACTCCATTAGTTTTGAGCGCGGGTTACGTAACATACAAAAAAATCTCCTGTTAATAATTCATGAAGAAAATTCAAAAGAAACAAATATTTAATCAGTATTTAGAAATCGCAGGAAGATTACAGCCGAATTCCGCCAACTTTAATGACGATTTCCTTTTAAAATACGGGTTCGTTTGAGAAGTAAGTTCAAACACTCGTAAGTGTTGTGCCTCTGATTTCTAAATACAGACAAGCTGGTTAAAAAAACGCGGCTTCGCCTCGTATTTTCAACCGGCTTGTCCGTTTTTAGAAATCAGAGTAAGAACTGTCTCTTACTCGTATCTGCACCGGATTTCAAATCCGGCCGGAATTCCGGCCGGATTTAACCCATTTTCCGGGAGAAAATCCGGCCGGATTTAAATTTACAGTGTACGAGAACAGAGAATAGTTCTCACTATTGGGCAACCCATGCCCAGATAATGATTTTATCAACCATTTTAAATATGCCCATTAATTATTAACTTCTTGTTAATCGAGCTTTACTAATAAAAAGTTTATTATATGGCATTTATACTCGAAATAAACAAGATTTGAAATGTATATTAGTAGCGTGCATGGTACACATTTAATCGAAGGAAACAAAAATTACCAATTATACTCCTTCCTTTCCACTTAAAACCATTCCCAGATATTAAAAATTTATATTTTTTGTTTTAAAATGCATGCATTTGTTTTTACGTAATGCACCGGTTCATTACGGGAAAATAATGGATCACTGAAAGTGCTTCTCAGCCAATCACAGCCGGCCATTTCACCGGAAGTGATGCTTGCCATATAATATGGTAAAGTAATAGCAGCAACAAAATCGCCGATTCATTATTACTCTATCATTTCTAAAAATATCACGAAAATAATTATTAAATCTTAGATTTGTAATCAATTTTAAGAAGACAACTACTTCACCTTCACAAACAGATCCATTGCCACTGAAACCGTTATAACAGGTACAGTTGTAACCTCCTCTTGTATTTGTACATGTTGCATTGGCATCACATTCATGCATGTCACGATCGCACTCATCGATATCTAAAATATTTCATTGACTTTCTAATGTTTGTAAGTTCCCGCAACCAGATACAGCTAAATCAATTCAGGATGTTCTCTGAAAACCGAAAAACGTCGAAACACAAGCACGAAAAACACAAAAGATGTGTTTGTTATGATCACATTGATTACATGTCATCATCACATTTATGCTAATCAAGTGATTTAATTCCGGAAGGAGTTAACCCTATATAAATAACGTTAAAAAGTTTAAAATTCCAACAAATTCTGTCGGGTTTGCCATGGAATTGCGTTAGAGAAACAAATAAAATCCCAACAATATTAAAAGGACGAGAATACGTATATTATAAATCCGCGCTTTTTTACAGTTGAGAACGCTACTGGGCCTTCGCACAACCTGTCATTGACAGATACTGAACAAATAAATAAACAATATAAATACATCCCTATACCTTGGCAGTATGTACCATTGCCTTCGAACCCATCATTACAGGAGCAGTTGTAGGAGCCAACAGTGTTTGTACAATTGGCATAGTCATGACAATCATTTTCACCATCACACTCGTCAATATCTGCGGTAAAACATATTTAAAAATTGGAAATAGAAACAACCAGACGTTCTAAATTACTACTATAGAGAATGTAACTCTAGTGGGATCGGCAATCCGCGTAATTATCCGTTGTACTGTCCACATGCAAGTCAAATTCATGCGTCTGTAAAAACATTCAAGTTTTTTTAAAAATTTAAAAGGAAAGATGGAAATGAAATGTATATTACAGTATATTATTATTCATTAGTCACTATACGCCGAGCATTGATTTGCATTTAAATATCTCGAACTCATTAATAATTCATGAGCAAATTAGCGAATGAACTCACCCTAATTCGTTACATGATTGAGGTTGGATATCGCAAGGAAACACGCTAAAAATCATATACCATCACTGTTGTTAGATGAAAAACGGTTTTCATCTAATAACTGAGATCCTAATTACAAATTCAAGTCAAAACACAACAATATACTATAATAATATATATAAGCCAATGAAATGTTTTCGTTTGAGATGTTATGTAAACAACTCGTTTCTCGTGTTTCATCAAGGGACAAAACACTCGAAAACAATAAAACACTCGCGCTTCGCGCTCGTGTTTCATACAGTTTTCTCGTGTTTGGATCCCCTGATGAAACACTCAAACTCGTTGTTTACATATAACATGAAACGTTGCACAATAATGCAACAAAAGTAAAATGTTGTTCAACAAATGTAGATAATTTAATATCCAGCTTTTCAACACTAAACTTATAATTTCATGCTAATTAGTTAACACTTGAACATTAAGCCTATCATTTGATAATTTCCAGCTTGCTTATGTTTATCCACATGTTTTTATAAAACAATTACTTTATGGTTTCCATGTTTGGATGGAATGATCCAAACACTT